GTGCATAATATTATTTCCTCACAATATAGCCAGTTTCAATATTACCAAGGTTTTACATTTTTTGCCTGAATTGTGGGTAGAAAATGTCACTTTTCTATTTTAATATGCTTCTCTTGGCCGGGTGCAGTGGCTCACAACTGTAATCCCAGCACCTTGGAAGGCCAAGGCAGGAGGCTCCCTTGAGCTCAGAAATTCAAGGCTACAGTGGCCTATGATCAAGCCGCTGCACTCCAGCCTGGGTGACAGAGTGAGACCCTGTCTCTAAAAACTAAAAAATGCTTCTCTCAAATTACTGAGATTGCATATCTTTATCAAATGTTTGTTGGCCACTTACAGAAGTTATCTCTTCTGAAACTCACTGTTGGTATTCTTTATCTATTTTTCCATTTCATTGTGTCTTTGTAGGAGTACATTATGTATATTTCTGGTTTGTTATATATGTTGCAAACATCCCCCCACTCTATTTTAAATTTGTATATGATAAACTCTGTCACAAAGTAAAAATCTTAAATTGTGATCTGGCCAAATTTATCAAATATCTAAAACATATACATAATCGTGTGTTCGAATCACCTATACAATACAGTAGAATTGAACCTTATTTATTCATTTATTTATTTTTACTTACTTTGAGACAGGGTTGTCTGGGCTCTCTCTATTGCCTGAGCTAGAGTGCTCACTGCAACCTCAAACTGGTGGGCTCAAGTGATCATCCTGCCTCAACCTCTTTAGGAGCTGGGACTATGGAAGTATGCCACCATGCCTGGCTAATTTTTTTTTTATTTTTTGCAGAGACAGGGTCTTGCCATGTTGCCCAGGCTGGCCATATGTATATTTAACTTGAAGTGAAAAATGATTTATATGTTTGGCCACCCACCATTCTATTTCATAAATATAATTCCCAGCATTAGCCTGAAATGTGAATTTCCCATTTCCTCAGTAGGTCTCAATTCTCAAATGCTTCCTACAAAATGAACTTCTCATTGCAATGTATACAAGTTTAATGGTTTAAAAGGTTTTTTGGGTACAACATAATTCATAAACATAGACCATCTTCCTCTAGGGCATGACTGAGGAAACGATGATATATTTCATCACTTAGAGGAAAAACCTGGCTGCACTGGACTTACTAAAAGATGTTATCTTTATTTTCCATGTGGCAACCTCCTACAAGTAATTCTGACTATACATTATATTACTGTCACCTAATATACATAATCATTAAATAAGTGGCAACTCCAGTGCATTTCAGACCTTTAAGGATGTAACCTGTACCTCAATGCAGCCTCATCATCTCACCATTCTCTCACTTGGATTTATACTCTAACAAGAGAGAGTTATCTATAATTACCCTTATATGCTATTGTGTCTCACGATACCACTCCTTTGTAAATCACCCTGCCTAAGAAGTCTTCCTCTTCCTCTTAATTTACCTGATCAAATATTCTTATTCTACCTCCAAAACCCAATTCAGACAATACTTCCTTAAACAAACTTCCCTTGACCTTCTCAGCGAAAAAGAATTAATCATTTCTCTATTTTTTTCACTGTGCCTTGAACATACTTCCAATATTATATGGATTCCACATTACAAATGATTTGTTTACAAGCTCTCCTCTCTCATAAGCCTCAGGAAACCAAACAGGACTTATTTTATTCTTATCTGTATTTTAGTATCTAGCACTTTCTAGCCTACCAGTCAATAGATTTTTGGTAAGTTAAACAATTTCACTCTATTCAGCATTATCTGTTAATGGGGGCACAGCCCATTAACAGACTATGAAATCATTTCAGTGGGTTAAGGCCAATGTTTTTAAAAATATCTGCATATATCAAATGTGGCCTTCATATATACATATGCATGCATGTGTACACACATATACACAGCAACGTACATACATGATCACCAAGTACATTTCTTATTGTGAATCACAATAAAAAATAACTTGAAAGGTACTTCCATAATTGCTATATGGGTTCAGAGGTTTAAATTAACAAACAAGATGAAGTAGTCAAGGAAGGTTCTTCAATGAAGGACTTAACATTTGAAGCATAACCTGGCCCCCCCACTATCTCCATCAGGTCATCTATCATTCCCCCTCAGTCACTCTGCAATTCTTTGAACAACCCAAACACGTTCCCACCTTGGGGTCTTGCATATGCTGTCTCCTCTGCCTAGGAAGCTCTTCACTTAGACAACTGTATGGCTTACTCCACACTCCAAGATGCCCTAAGAGAACAGACCGTCTAAAATAGCGGCCACATCCCACCACTCTATTTCCTTGCCTAGTTTTATTCCCTTTCATTGTACTCATTACCACTTAGCATCATATGCTTGTTTTACTGTGTCCCTCCCCACAAATGTCAGTTCCGAGAAAACAGGGACTTTGTTTTCTGTGTTGTTCATTACTACAATGCCAGAATTAGAAATGTGCCTGGCACAGGGCAAACATTCCTTAACAGACTTTGACAGACCAAGGGAAAGGAAGATTACAAGGAGATTGTCCCTTTCAAAGAGTGACCAAGGTTTAAAAAAAAAAAAAAAAAAAAACAAGGAGATTGTCCCTGAGCATGGTATATTACAGAGAAAATACCAGCTTAATAATGTTAAGTAGTAAGAAATAAGACTGAAGAAGGAGAGGGTAATATGAAAAGGTTGGAAAGTCAGTAGAATTTGGACTTTATCCTGCAGACAACTGGGAGTCATTCAAAGTTTTTGAACAAACAGTGATCCACTCAAACATTTATTAAGCACAGGTTCAATTCACTTGGCTTGGCACAATGGAAAGGGCAAAGAGCAATAGTACATGTTCTCTCCTCAAGCTTATAGTTTAGTAGCAATGGGTTCAAAAGAGTTTTTATTCTGGCAGCCATAGGCAAAATGGATTCAGGGAAGAATCTAAAGCTAAAAAGGGCAAATAATAGGACATAATAAACAATGCAGAATCCCACAACAAACTAGTAAAGAACAAACAATTGTGCTTACTGATGGATATAAGAAACAAAGGCTTGGGAGGCTGAGTGAGGTGGGAGAACCACTTGAGCCCAGGAGTTCGAGACCAGCCTGGGCAACATAGCAAGATCCTGTCTCTTACAAAAAAATTTAGCTAGTCATGGCGGTGCATGCCCGTAGGCCTAGCTACTCAAGAGCCTGAGGCAGGCAAATCACTTAAGCCTGGGAATTCAAGGCTGCAGTGAGCAATGTTTACACCACTGAATTCCAGCCTCAGGGACAGAGAAAGAGGGAGGGAAGGAGGAAGGAAGGAAAAACATGCATCAGACAACTTCAAGATTTAAGTATGATGATGATGAAACTAACAAAAATTAGGAGGTAGGAGGCTGGGTAATAAATCTAAAAGTGATAGAAATTCCTTGAGCCTCCCAATGGAAACATCCAGCAAACTGCTAGAGCTAGAAATCTGGAGAGTACACATTTAGGAGTCACCAAATATAAAACATTCTGGCCGGGTGTGGTGGCTCACGCCTGTAATCCCAGCTCTCTGGGAGGCCGAGGCGGGCAGATTGCTCAAGGTCAGGAGTTCCAAACCAGCCTGAGCAAGAGTGAGACCCCATCTCTACTATAAATAGAAAGAAATTAATTGGCCAACTGATATGTATATAAAAAATTAGCCAGGCATGGTGGCGCATGCCTGTAGTCCCAGCTACTCGGGAGGCTGAGGCAGAAGGATTGCTCGAGCCCAGGAGTTTGAGGTTGCTGTGAGCTAGCCTGACGCCACGGCACTCACTCTAGCCTGGACAACAAAGCGAGACTCCGTCTCAAAAAAAAAAAAAAAACATCATTCTGAGAGAAGACCAAGAGAGAGGAGCAGAGGGCCAAGTACTGATGAGAATAATGACAGTGCTAAGAGGATCACAAAACAAGAAAACAGAAAACTAGCAGTCAGAAATGGAAAACCAGAATGGCATGCTAAAATGAAGGGCAAGGAAAGAAAGAATGTTAAGAAACCTCAGTGGAAATTGGCTATAACACATATACTGGCTGAATAAAATCAGAATAAAGCCAATATTATTAACAAGAAGCATGTCCTTTGAAGTAACAATCTGAATATGATATTCCAAAATTGCAGTAAGTTAGGAAAGTAGTAGTAAAAGAGCTGAGGCCAGGCCGGGCATGGTGGCTCACGCCAGTAATCCTAGCACTCTGGGAGGCCGAGGTGGGCAGATTGCTCAAGATCAGGAGTTCAAAAACAACCTGAGCAAGAGCGAGACCCCGTCTCTACTATAAATAGAAAGAAATTAATTGGCCAACTAAAAATACATAGAAAAAATTAGCCAGGCATGGTGGTGCATGCCTATAGTCCCAGCTACTTGGGAGGCTGAGGCAGTAGGATTGCTTGAGCCCAGGAGTTTGAGGTTGCTGTGAGCTAGGCTTGACGCCAGGGCACTCACTCTAGCCTGGGCAATAAAGCGAGACTCTGTCCCAAAAAAAAAAAAAAAGAAAAAGAAAAAAATAGAATGTGCAGCTCCTATTGGTGGGCAAGGGGAGAAGTGAAAGGATATTTATAAAAATAAATAAATAAATAAAAATTTTGAAATAAGGAAATGAGGTAGATAGCTAGAAAGAACAGTGGCAGCAGTTCATCAAAACTGATTGTTTTCCTTCCAAAACGTAATAATCTGTACATATTCAAAAGTAGGGAGGAAAAACCATTGCAGATAATGATCAATGTGACCAGACATGAAAAGTTACCTGTGGCAGCAAGATTCCCAAGCAAAAGATGATTGCACTCAATTTATAAAAAAAGATGAAATCACAGAGATTTGTCAAGTGACAATGAAAAAAAAAATGTACAAGCTCATACCCTATTTTTTTTTTCCATTTTGGTAGAAGTAAATGGCATCTACTATAAGTTAAAGAGGAAGAAGAATATGAAACAACAGAAAAGTGAGAATAAAATGATTGCCAAAAAGTAGCTAGGGCCATTTGAAATTGTTAAGCATAATTTTACAGTGTGCAAGAAATCTTCATAATTACTCACCTTCCTCCATAAATATGCTGTGACCTGTGAGGAAAAACAGAAGAAATCGATGGTAGAAAAATTTAACAATAAGAGACCAGTAAAATATGAAAGTGACAGATGTCAAAGTACAGGCTATATCTAATACACAAAGGAATAAGCTAAGTGTTTTTGTCCATTTGGGCTGTTACAACAAAATACCATAACCTGGGTGGCTTACAAACAACAGAAAATTATTTCTTACAGTTCTGGAAGCTGGGAAGTCCAAGATCAAGGTATTGGCAGTTAAGATGTCTGGTAAGGACCAGCTTCTACACAGCAGTCTTTTCACTGTAACTTCACACGACGGAAGGTCTAACAAGCTATCCGGCTTCTTTATTAAGAGCACTAATCCCATTCATATGGGCTCCACCCAAATAACCTAATCATCTCCCAAAGTCCCCTACCTCCTACTACCATCATTTTAGAAGTTAAGATTTCAACATATGGGGCCAAGCACTGTGACTCACTCCTGTAATCCTAGCACTCTTGGAGGCTAAAGCGGAAGGATCACTTGAGCTCAGGAGTTTGAGATCCAGCCTGAGTAAGAGCGAGACCCTATCTCTACTAAAAATAGAAAAAATAAACTGCGTGTGGTGGTTTGAACCTATAGTCCCTGCTACTTGGGAGGCTGTGGCAGGAGGATTGCTTGAGCACAGGAGTTTGAGGTTGCAGTGAACTACAATGATGCCACTGCTCTCTATTCACAGTGACAGTGAGACTGTCCCCCGCAAAAAAAAAAAAAAAAAAAAAAAAAGGATGACTGGAGTCAGAGGGGCTACACATCCAACAGCTTTTATCATAAGCAAAATCAACTTAATCCCAAAGTCCAGTGCTATAATTAATTTTATGTCAACCTCAGTCTCCACATATACAGAATGAGAAGGGTGTGCTAAAAGAGGTATCGTAGTGGCCTCTACCTTCCTCCTTTTTAGAATCTTTACTGTAGTAAACTACCATACTAGAAGTATCTTATCCCTCAAAGGTAATGAGATATAAACAAGCTAATTGAGGTAGAGGAACTATCAAGTCTCGTCTAGAGGATTCTACATTATGTAAGAGAATCACAGTAACAATGGATTTAGCATATTTTGAAAAGAGAATTATAGTATCAGTGGGTTTAGTATATTTTTAACCAAAACAATGAAGTTGGACATTTTTCATTATTTTTATATTTTAATTTACTGTGCACTTTACATAAAGCTATGTAATACCATGAAAAGATGTATGTTTTATTAAAATAGGACTTAAAACTGAGTAAATGTTCTACAGGTTCCTTATCTATAATTCCAAAACCCAAAAGTTCTGAAACCCAAAATAACTCATTGTTGGTAGTAAAACCTTACCTGAACTGATATGAAGCGTTTATACTCTTTATCCTGTTCAATGTAAATGTTCATACATTTTGCTGCAGAAATAGTAACATTTGAAGAGAAGTACGGCATGGGATTCTGTTAGAAGGCTATATAATTATTACCTTGCCTATATCCTAAATATTTCAAAGCCTATTACCCCAAAGGTTTTAAATAGTGGACTGTGATCCTATAGTAATTGCTAACATGTATTGAGCTATTAACTTAAGTGTCAAGCACTGTTCTAATTAATTTCTATGTAGTAACTCATTCAATCCTCACAACCACCATAAGGTAGGCTTTATAATAATCCCCATTTTATAAAGGAGGAAACTGAGGCACAGAGGGATTAAATAAATTGCCTACAGTCACATAGCTAGATAGTGACTAACTTGGATGAACACAATATTTTAAAATATTACACATACAGCCAGGCATGGTGGCTCATGCCTATAATCCTAGCACTCTGGGAGGCCAACACAGGAGGATCACCTGAGACCGGAAGTTGAGACCAGCATAAGCAAGAGCCAAGCCAGAGCAAGACCTGCGTGGTAGCATGCATGCCTGTAAATCCAGCTACTCAGAAGGCTGAGGCAAAACTGTTTGAGCCCAGGCATTTGAGGGTACAGTGAACTGTAATGATACCACTACACTCTATCGGGCAACAGAGCTAGATTCACATAAGATGAATAAAACACAACAAAACAGAGAGCTGATTATGGTCAGGGGGTAGGAGTCACTGATATTGTCCTCCAAATTAACACATTACTTCTAAAATGGTAAGGAATCAAACTTAAAAAAAATACAACACACTTGATCCATTTACAAATTCTCATTTATGTGCAATTCCCAAATCAACTTGCATAAAATGCATAGTATAAAATCCAATTTTCTCGGCTTATGCTAATATCTATAATTTTTATTAAAAATAACATCTTAACATTTTAATTATAATACACAATAATTCATATTCAGTATAGAAGTTAGAAAATTTGGATAAGCAAAAAGAAAATAATCACCTATAAAACTCCACTCAGAATAAGCACTTAACAATTTGGCACATACCTTTCCAGACATCAATATATTTTTGGTTTTCCTTTTTTTACCAAAATAGAATCATGTGGTTTTCATCTGCTTTTTTATTTTTCTTCCTATCCTTGCTTTCCTCTCTGAAGAATCATGTTTTTAAATCTACTCTTTTCACTTAAACACACCAAGAAATCTCTTCATGTCTTTACATGCTTCTGATGCAATTATTCCAATGGCCTGGTAGTAATACACTGTAGAGATGTGCCATAACAATCACTGTGAAACATTTAGGTTGTTTACAATTTTCCAGCATAGTGATCAAGAATACTACTGGCTCTGGAGCCACACTGGCTGGATTCAAGTCCTAGTTCTACCACTAACTCAGCTACCTTGGGGAAGCAACCTCTTTTCTCTAATGCCTATTTTCTCTTCCAAAGAATGGAGATTAATACTACCCACTTCATATGATTACTGTGGGGGTTAAATACACACAACAATGCTGTAATTGGTATGCTCACAACTAAATCTTCACACACATCTCTATTACATCTAGATAATTTTCTTTAAATGGGAATTTCCATCTCAGAAGTTATGCCTATTTACAATGCTTCTGAGTCTGCAGAAGTACAGCTTGATGTAAAGCCTTTCATCAAATAGCCTTACTTAATGCTCATTTATCTTTATCTAAGAATGTGAAACCTTGATCCACATAAGCTAACCAGCTTGTTTCACTCAATTAGCTTTGCTCTTCCACCATGTGCCTGCAAACCTAAACATATTTCATAAAATCTCAGTTCGCAGGGAACTTGAAGACACCTAGCCCAGATCCTTCCTTGAGCACATAAATTCCTCTACTCTATCTCCAATATGGACACCATCAGCAAACAGAGACAGAATACCATCCAAAACAACCCATTCCATTTTTAGTTTTGAGGAAATTTCTCTCAGAAGATAGTTGAAATCTGCATCTAACTTCTACCCATAGAGCCTAATTCTTTTGGGTCAAATCAAACCTGATCCTTCTGTGTGACAGACCTCCAAATATTTAAAGGTGGCTACAATTTCTTAGAGAGGCTTCTCTTCTTTAGGTCAGACATCCCATTTTTTCAACATCCCTCATTTCCATTTCCCTTATGACCAAGGTCTCCGTATATGCTCTAACAGTACAGTGACTTCAAAACTTGGGTGTCTATCACTTTGGGAACTTGAGAAAAACAGAGGCCCAGCTCCTACTTAAGCTTGGGCATGCATGTGTGTGCCTTGTGTGTGTTCGTGTGTTTCATTTGATCTCCAAGTGGTTCTCATATAAAGTCTGAGAATGGATACAAGGTCTCCTGCTACCTAAAAAGCTGACATGATATCCCAAGTATATTACAACCAGTACAAAGTAAAGTGGTGCTAACACTTGCTCTTTCTATATGCTGTTCTACCAACTTAAATTTACTTTTTTAAAAAAAATTACACAATAGTGTTGATTCATATTAAATGTACAATTATGAAGTCTTTTCCACATTCCCTATTTGTGCATTAGGATTTGAGGCCCTGACAGTCTTTATAATTATTCCCATTAAACAGTAAGAGAACAAGGGCTAAGAGCTTTAAGATTTCTACTTCTAAATATGTCAATGGCTCTGCATATGGATTTATCCTTTTTTTTTTGAGACAGACTCTCACTTTGTTGCCCAGGCTAGAGTGAGTGCCATGGCGTGAGCCTAGCTCACAGCAACCTCAAACTCCTGGGCTCAAGCGATCCTACTGCCTCAGCCTCCCGAGTAGCTGGGACTACAGGCATGCACCACCATGCCCGGCTAATTTTTTCTATATATATTAGCTGGCCAATTAATTTCTTTCTATTTATAGTAGAGACGGGGTCTTGCTCTTGCTCAGGCTGGTTTCAAACTCCTGACCTCAGCAATCCGCCCGCCTCGGCCTCCCAGAGTGCTAGGATTACAGGCGAGAGCCACCTCGTCCGGCCTGGATTTATCTTTAGTGGAGAAATCACTTCAAGGTTAAGCCTTTACTCTTAATACATGGACATACTAAATCCAAATAAAGGTACACTAGCCTGCGGACAACCGAACTGACAGCTGATCACACCAAAGTATATTCTCTGTGCAGAGCAGTGCTGTCAACACTATGAGAAAACACACAGTGCCTAATACTAATCTCATCTAGTACTAGATTTACCTTCTAGAGAGCATGATGGAGCAAACATCTTCAGAAAACCTAAGTACTAAATTATAGCTGTTCCAAAGTAGACATATTAGTGCTATAGAAACATTCTGATTACTACTTGGAAAGACTTGGGGTCAAAGAAATGATGTTCATTAGAAAACTAACTTGCCTTGAACATCAAGACTTCGCGATTGTTTTCTAATGTTTGCAAAATGAAACAGAAGAGATGGAGGCCATTGGTGAGTTCATTCGCACTCAGGTTTCATGATTCAACATTTCATGTAACGATTCTGAATTCCTTATGATATGTACGCTTTACCTGTTACTATTTCTAACTTACAAAGTACTTAAGAGGGAAAGAAAATCCATTCTACAAGAGTTGTGGCCCATTATAAAGAACTCTAAAAATGCTAGGGGGGAAAAACAAACTAAAATTAAGAAAATTAACCAAGATCCAGCCTATATTCATTTGAATAGCAAAATTAAAAATACACCTGGCATTTTCTAACAATTACATGAAGAACGACCAGATGCTTCCTGTTGATGGAACACTAGAGAACTACAGACTGACAGATACAGACTAGAGTTCACAGAAACAACTGGAAACAAATTTAGCTTCCTTTCAAAACCATTAAAGTATGGCCTTAAATTTTTACACATTACAGTATAACTGTCCCCCAACCTAGAAAACACAGATTGATTCAAAGAGTCAGAGGACTCTAATATGCAAACTATTCTTTGTTTCACCAAAGGTTTCATTGTAGGATTCCTTTTAAATCTGGAACTCTAAAAGTGTTTTCAAAGTGTTCTAGCTTCAAAGATAACATTTACACATAAATTTTCACAAGCCACATCTAATGTGGAACTGGCATTTTACTTGTGTACACCATTAAAATATGTACCTTCATAACACTCTAGATTTCTAAGGGAAAACAATTAAATAAATAAAAATATGTACTGGAATTAAAACTTGAGTTTACTCACTTAGAATATTTCCAAATGTTCCTGAGTCTCCAGGATCATATGCAGATTATGCAATCCTTATCTGTGATATTGTTTATGCACTTAAATCTCAATTTTTAAAAAAGTTAGCCCATGAAAAAAAGAATAGGAATCAATCTTATCCATATTTTTAAAATGTGTCTTGCATAATATCCTGATTTGACCTGTATGGTGAAAGCAGGACAGAAATAACACATTTCTTTTTAAAACAAAACAAACAAAACAAACAAAACTATGAGTCCACAGTGGAGTTTTCCAGAGTTTACAAGGTATGATAACCACAACAGACTGAATGCAGAAGTAGACTTAAGAATCTAGCTGTCTTCTATTACACCAAACAGTAAAAAGATTTGCAAAAATGCAAGACAATGTCACTCCTATCTAACATGTCATTTGTGTTAACATATGTTAACATAGGGTTTTGTTCTAGAGAAATACTTAAAAAGAGAGAAAAATTAAGAAAATGAGATAACGTTGTCTTTAGTTTCCTTTAAACTCAAAGTCTGAGCCTGAAAATGGAAGTTCCAAAACTGATGACAGTTGCATGTCAACAAGAAAAAAAATTAAACCCAGTCGGTCGGTCCTTACGTGAGATAAACTATCTGCAAAAAAGAATTTCTGACCACTAACTTCTGCATAATAAATTAAGAGTGCATCTTTGGGATGGCAAATTACTTTACAAGAATCATTTATGGACTAATCCAAACCTTCTTGCAGATATAAACTGTACTTCAGAAAGTAACTTGCCTGAATGGAGACAGCAAACCAATCTGGACAGAGAACTTAAAATATTTCCACATTACCAAGCCCCCTTCTCAGAAGTACGGTAGTCTCTGCCCCTCCTTTGAACAGATGTCTGCTCGACACAGTCCAATGAGGTTTAAAGCAAGAGTATGTGTACTGAAAACAAGCTTAAAGTGGGAAAACACACAGAGCAGGCCTATATCGTTCCTTTGGTTTCCGTTTTCACGATGCACCCTTGAGGATAGGCACGCTGATTCAACACAGTCGGAGAGCTTCAACGAAACACACTAAATACACACTGATTGTGCCCAGGCAGAGATGACCTGGCAAAATTCTCAACTTCTTTTCCGAAGCCGTGCACCCGCGGATCTCGGCGGCGAAGTCTCTGGGGCAGAAGTCCCGAGCATTCAGAAAGGCAGGCTGCTCCCCCTCAGGACTCTAGTCCCCGCGGCTGAAGCTGTCGCGGTGGCGGCCCCGCGCGGGACGGGACGGGCTCTCCCGTCAACCCTATCCGGGCCAGCCGCTCCCGCCGCGGCCCGAGCGCCTCCCGGCCCCGCGGGCCCTGCAGCCCAGTGCGCCCAAGGCCGGCCGCCCTTCCCTGCTCTGGAGAGCCCGGCGGGGCCGTCAGGCCGCCCAGACAAAGGGGCCGGCGGCGCCGGAGGCCGCCGGGCCGCGCCTGCCTCTCTCCTTCTCCCACCCATCGCCCGCCTCCCGGCGATCACAGAGCCCCCTCCGCCCTGGTGCGACCCCATCGCCACCCAGAGCCGCGGCTCGGGCCTGGCCCGGCCGGGAGCAACCAGGAGGCCGCCGCATGCCGGGGCCGAGGAGGGGGCGGCGGCCGCCACCATGTCTGCCCGCCCCTCCCAGAAGCGGGGTGCCCAGCGGACAAAGCACGGCGGCGGCGCGGAGCGGACGCCCAGGCCGACCCCGCCGACCCCCGCGGAATAAGCGGGGCCAGGAGCCCCGGAAACCCGGCGCCTTAATGCAATAAACAGGAAATCGCGGGGATGATCTGGGTTCCGGGGGAAGTGGAATTATTTTTTACCAGCGAAGAGATCAACTTCCACATCCGGTGGTAACAGGGCCCTACACAGACCCGCACTGACCTGGAAAAGCTTCGGGAGCGGCAACGGGGAGGCAGCAGGAGGTGGTTCGGGAACCCGAGGCGCCTCGTACCCGGCCGGGCTGACGCGGCCCCGCTACACACAAAGCGCTTCAGCTGCACAGGGCGCTATTTTCCGAAAATGCCGCGTCTGGTCGGCGCCCAAAATCCCCACCGAAAAGTCCCCCGTGCTGCGCGCGGAAGGACACATGGTGTGCGAGTGAGTCAAAGCTCCCAGCATCCCTCCTCGACCCGGCCCTCGTCAGTCTCTTGCCCCAGGATTTTCCGCCTCTGCACTCGTCAGCGGAGCCCACTTCCCCTCACTTCCCGACCCCATTCCGGCGGGAGAAAGGGGCGAGAGGGTCTGATTTTTCTTTTTAACAGAGGGGAGGAAAATATGCCATTTCTAGTGCTTCAGCCACACAAAGAAAACGGCGGAATGATCCGCTCTCGGCGACCGCAAGTCCCGGCTCGCCCGGCGCCTGCGCGGCAGCGGGGGTGGGAGCTGCGGCCCGCCATGTGCGCGGCGGATCTGCCCGGCCGCGGCGGAACCTTCCCGCCTCTTTCCGTGGCGGTTAGGAGTTTGGAAAGTAATGTGCTTTTTGCTGAGCTTCGTATCTCTGTGACTGGGCCTTTAAAAGACAGAGACTGCGGAATCCTTGGAACTTAAGCTTGCCCACTGAGCCGCCTAGCAGAATCCTGGGAGACGGAAGGGCAGCCGGGAGGCTAGGACTTACCTTAAAGTGGCCCTAGATTCAACTAGGCAGACTGGACGGGAGACGCTGTTGAGGTACCAGGGGAGGAACGGAAAGATGTTCCATCTCCATTTAGCATAAGCGGGGTAGGTTTATGACGAATGTGTACATATTTCTGTAGCTTTTTTTTTTTTTTGAACATTCTAGTGGTGCTTCACACTTCATAGACCTTAACTACTCACTGAATTCCCTTGGATTTCTGTCACCTCAGGTAGAGATCTGTTGTCGGTGACTGGAATGTCAAAATTTTTGCGGTGTGCTTTATTAAGAAAGTAGCAAAAGGAAGTCAATACACTGATTTGTTTTTAACAGCAGAGCCTGGGAATGGCTTTCCCATCCAGCTTTCCCGAACCTACTAACCGTGCAACTTTGGCATCCTATAACTAGGAGTTGGGAATATCTGAGACAGCGCCAAGAGTTTCATCCAGGAGAGCTGACAAGCTTAATTGAAATCCATATTGCCCCCTGGTTTTGTGTGGCGTCAGATAAGTAATCTTTTTCTCTCCACTTACCTTTTGTAATAATTAATGTAGTAAAGATTTGTAGACTTTGTGTAACTTAATAAAGTGTTGTGCCTAAGATACAAAAATAAGTGGCATAGGAGCCACAGTCTTGTTTTCTTTTGATTTAATATTTTCATTGCTTCAGTTGATAAAAACTTGTCGAAGTTTTGATATCAAGTTTATTTGTAACATATTTACTTGAACATTCAGCTAAGGATTGCTACAGAATCCTTACCTACCCCCGACCCCTTTGGTCTTATGCTGTAGAATGTGGAATTAAATAGTCATCAGTAGAATGATGAGGGTAAACAACTGAATACTGCAGAATCTAATAAAGGAGGAACCCCTTACTAACCTAAGAGGAAGGAATGGAATGGGACTAGAGAAGCAATTAGCTTTAATAAGGGAATTAGGGAAGGCTTTCTAGAAAGAGGAAG